CAGGGTGCGGAGCGGAGCCGGGAACGGGGCGATGAGCGGTTGCCGGAGAGCTGGGGTGCGAAGCGGCGCGGTTCCCGGAGGTCTCGGCGTCGGTGCTCGGTGCAGCGCTCGTGTTGGCGTCCGGGTCTTTTTTCATGGGGTCGTGAATCCCATCTTCGTCGCCAGTGAAAAGTATGCAGACGGAGAGTGATTTCAGCTAAGCATACCTTTATTTAGTTCAGGACAAAGACAACTGACCGGCTCGCAGACCGGTTTATATATGTTCAGAAAACCCGCCACCAAGCATACCTAAACACACCCCCTACTCCCGATAGGCTATTTACAGTAACCGGGCTACCATTGGTCTCCCGGCTGGCTGGGAAGCTAGCCCTTTTGATTGGGCCGGCTAGGATCCTCCGGATCCTTTGTCTTTCGACTGAAGCTAACATAGGAATTGGGCCTGGCCAGCCCGGGCGAGTCCGGGCATGTCAGGCTGAATACATTACAGGTCCCCACGTAATTACTGGCCACTGGCAGGGGATGGAGGGGTAGGGTTTCCAGATCCAGGTTGGGGAACTCCTGGAGATTTGAGGATGGAGGAGCCTGAGGAGGACAGGGACCTCAGTGGGGGTACAATGACACAGAGTCCACCCTCCAAAGCATCCGTTTTCTCCAGGAGAACTATCTCTGTAGTCTGGGGAGGAGCTGTTAAACTGGGGGATCCCCAAGTCCCACCTGGAGGCTGGCATCCCAAGGAGGAGCACATGATTAACATGCAAAAGGTCCCAGCTTCAACCCTTGACATCTCTAGGTAAAGGATCTCAGGTGCAAAGTGCTGGGAAAGATCTATGACTCTGGGAACTCTGTCTCTGAAGAACTGTTTCCAGTAAGCACAGAAGGGAGCAGTGGCGCAGGGAGTAACAGCACCTGCAGTAACATCTATAGCGAACAGCCATAATGGCTGTTCAAATCCCCACCGCGCCCGGAGTGAGCTCCCGGCCCCAGTCCCAGCTCCCGCCAACCCAGCGGCTCGAAAGTAACTGCAAGTAGAGAAATGGGTACCTGCCTTATAGGCGGGGGGCACCCTCCTCCTGGTTCCGTGCCAGGAGGGTTGACGGCGACGATGGCAGTAAGAGAAGCGGCGGCGGCGAGGAAGAACAATGGCGGCGTCTGGCGGACTGAAGGAGCGATGACGACATCGGATCGAGGAGGGACCGGATGACGCAACTGCGGAGCGAAGCGGCGCGGCTGGAGCCCGAAGGGACGAGTAGCCGGGAACGCCGCAGTCCAGGAGCAGTGCGCATCAACGGAGGGTCCATCTGCAGCCCGCTGATGGTCGCCGCACGCCGGAATGCCGAGACTACGCCGGAGCCACCGAGTACGGAGAGAAGCCTGTCGTCCGGGTGCTGCTAGGCAACCCCTCCCTGCACAATTGTCGCCCAAGGTAGGATCTGACTACAATAATGTAGGCCACTTGTAAGCCGCTCTGAGACCCAGTAGGGGTCATGAGCGGTATAGAAGTCACATGTAAATAAAAATAAATAAATAGACAATATGGAGTGAGATGGGTTGATGGTTTAACAGTATAAGCAGGGGTGGATTGGCCATTATGGGCACTGGGACACCTGGTGAGCCAGTAGCCTCCTTTCCCCCAACCTGAGACAGGCTAGCCCTGTAGCTAGGGTTGCCAGCCTCCAGGTGGTGGCTGGAGATCTCCTGAGTTTACAACCGATCTCCAGGCAACAGAGATCAGTTCACCTGGAGAAAATGGCTGCTTTGGAAGGTGGACACTACGGCATTATACCCCGTTGAAGCCCCTCCCCACCTCAAACCCCACCCTTCTCAGGCTCCACCTCCAAAATCTCTAGGTATTTCCCAACCCACAGCTGGCAAACCTACCTGTAGCAGAAGGGCTGTATGCTGCCCACTCAAACTCCGTGTGTTGTGGATAGATGGTGGTGCCTGGCCAGCATGGAGCAACAGAGGTGGCCTCACCCAAGCATTGTGTGAGGTGAAGGAGGAGGTGGGGCCTGGCTAACTGCGTAGGCAGACTGCCTCTTCCTCTCTCCCGAGTCCTGAATTCCGTCACTTCCTCCTTTTGCGGGGCAGGGATAGAGCGGGCTGGGGATGAGACTGTCATATGTGTTCCTGTTAGTTGCCACCTAGTGGCAGATGCTTTTTTTGTTGAGCCGTCATACTAGGCATGCTCCCGAGGCAGTTGGCATTAGTAGAGGCCTGGTTCCAAGATGGGTATCTGGGGCTTTGTGCGTTGCAGTTCAAATAGAGCAGATTTATACCCTTGACCTGCTGGTGTGGACTCCAAATGCTATAGAGACCTTTTCCAGGGCTCATTCCCAGTCCACGTGTGACCAGACTTCAGATTTCACTATGTACAAAGTAGCCAACTGTACCCCCCCCCCAATCTGAAATGGCCTCCCTGCAAGATCCTAACCTTCATGAGTGCTCCTCCTTTAACAGGCAGGTGTCAGGGAAATCTTCAGCACCTGCAGCATTTTTTCATCCCTGTCTTTGCTGCCAAACCTTTGTCCAGCACATAGTGATTAAAGGTGCAGGAGCCCTCTGTGGGTGGGGAACTGGCAACGCTGTTATTGACAACCCTCAAAAAATACCAGGACCAATAATGTTAAAAAAAAAAGAATGAATATTTTAAAGGCTGATACAGTGACAATTTACATAAAAACTCTGTCCAACTTATTGTTGTAATCTATTAAGAAGTAGCAAGGAGTTGATAAGAATTTTTCTTTAAGCATAGATTTATTACTGCTCTTGTTCCTTTTCTTTCTTTTTTTGATTAAGAATAGTATTATATAGACAAATTGAAATAGTAGATAGGATATAGTATAACTAGTTATATAACTGGAATAGATTGAGAAGTTGCTGTCTTTTATATTAATTGCAATTAGAAACTGTTAATTGTTCTGATTTTAGTTGCTAGACATTATAATCTATGTAGAAAAAAGTAATATATAAGCAATATGATGTTATGAATGAGACATCTGACTGAACTTTTTAAAAATCTATTGCTCTCATTTCTTTTATCTTTTTTCTTGAAAAATCCAATAAAAATGTATAATAATAATAATAATAATAATAATAATAATAATAATAATAATAATAATAATAATAAAATACTAGGACCAGCTAGCCAGGTCCTAGTGGCTTTTTCAGATGCTCTCATTTACTTGGGATGGGTCGTGGGGTTGCCAGCTCTGAGTTGAGAAATACCTGCAGATTTTTGGGGTGGAGCCTGGGGAGGGCGGAGTTTGGTCAGACATTTTTTCCCGAGCGGAACTGATCTTGGTTGTCTGGAGAGCAATTGTAATAGGAGATCTCCAGTTGCCACCTGGAGGTTGGCAACCCTTATTGGGTTGGTGGGTGGTGGGCAGCCATTAAGCAAGTAGCCAAGTAACATTGCTCCAGCAAGTGAGTTATGAATTGTCTCCAAGATCCTTTCTATTGTCTGAAGCACAGAGGAAAGTGGGGCTCACCTTTGCTACTCCTGGGAGATCCTCGAGAAAGCCCATCGCCAATCTGGACCTGCACGCTGCCAATGTGGCCATCAGGCAAGAGATCAGACGTGCCATGACCTGGCTGCTTCAGCAGATCGGTGAGTGTTCTGGAGAAAGATATGGAGGACAATTAAACAACACCTTGGCAACGATGTTCCCTCTAAGCTCCACAGTGTTGTGAGCAAAAATTCTACTTCGTGAGTGAAGAAAGCGAGTAGCGTTAAAGTAATCAGTGAGTCTACACTTGACTATCATGCAAATTAAGTTTTTTAGATTATTTCCATAAACTTGTAAAGGTCTCAGAATGAATTCTTTTAAACTATATTTAAAGTATATTTTAAGAATAATTTAAACATTATAAGAGAAAACAGAATGGAGTCAAATTTCATCACAGAAAATATTGTTCTCGATGGGGGTAAACCAGACCTCCAGAGAACAGGTCTACCTGCCCCTTTCCCCTATATTGGTAGACCTGACCTCGGACTGTCACCCTTCGCTGAGCCATAGAAAACATACCAGCACTTTTTTTTGGGGGGGGGACTCATGCAGTCTACTTTGGGTTGTTTTTTTTTAGTGAAATATGACAACCAGCATTACAGGTCAAGTACAACAGAGGTGGAACAATCACTGTCAGGACGCTGCCTAATCTAACAAACAGGAAGTTGCTTAAATGTTATCAACCTGCTTAACTACTTCTTTATTCAAATATTTATATCCCACTTTTCCCTGTGACTCACGGCAGCGTACAAATCATACTGAAAAACACAATAGGGGTGTACAAAAAAAATCAATTTCCCCCCAGCTCCGTTATAGCCTAATGGGGACTATCATCATCATCATCATCATCATCATCATCATCATCATCATCATAATATTCAATGGGCCCATAGGCTATAATGGAGAATCAATTGGGGGTATCTGGGGTTCTTGGGGGGGGGGCTGGTTTTTTAGGTAGAGGCACCAAATTTGCAGCATAGCTGCTGGTGCCTCTCATCCAGGGCCGGCCCCAGCTTATTTTGCACCCTAGGCGGGGATCCCTTCTGGCGCCCCCCCCCACCGGCGCGCCCACCAATTTTAAAAAATAAATGCATTTTAGGAAGAATGAAAAACACAAATAATCAAGAAACTCCCAGAGTATGGGGCCGGGTGCAGTTTGGTGCCCCTAAGGGCCAGCCCGCTCTAGGTGATCGCCTAGTCTGCCTAGTGAGTGAGCCGGCCCTGCTCTCATCATCCCTCCCTCAAGTTTCAAAAAGATTGGACCAGGGGGTCCAATACTATGGGCCCCAGAATGAGTTGCCCCCATCCTCTATTGTTTCCAAAGGAGGGAAAAAATGTCTTCTCAGTTCACTTGTGAGCTGATTGCAAAATCCCTGAGCTGCTGGCTAAAATTTTATGCTCCAGAGCCCCCTAGCACAGTTTAGAGGGAACTTTGCTTGGCAAGTGATGACAGTTGTCTTCTATTGCTGCAGTCACTTTCTTTACCATTTGTGTCTGCTTGCATTTCTAGACATTCATGTTAAAACACATGTGCAGTTGCTTCTCATTTGTTACATGGGCTCAAGGAAGCACTCAGATGACTTTCTTAGCTCTCAGACAACATGATCTTGCTGCTAAGAAAATAGGATTCTTTCCATGCTCATTAGAATCAGTGGAATGGGATAGCACCTTTTCCAGGGGCATTTATTGGATAATGCCTGCGATGTCACTTGCCCAAGGTCATCCAGCCAGGTGCGAATGGAGGAGTGGGGAATCAAACCTAGTTTTCCCAGATTAGAGTCTGCACACTTAACCACTACACCAAACTGGCTGTTTGGAGATACCCAAACTGGAGATACTCAAAACAAAACAGCCCCTTTCCCTTCTTGTTAAAAATTAAAAGAAGGTTAGTTGCGGAATAGCCAAGAGTTAAAGTGGGAATGCATAAGGTTGTGAAGATCATGGGGAATACATCTGCATTGGCTGAGGCCGGGGGTGGGGCAGAGCAAAATGATCCAACCTAAATCCAACCATTCATAGATTTTCCTACCACTCTTCACAATTCCTTTGATCCGTTTAGCATGGAATGTCAAATATTTTCATGTAAGAAACATCTCTAATAGGTTTCAGATTTGCATCTGAAGTGCTAAGAGTTCTCCCCCATTCATAAGAGCGCCTTGGCCAAGGCATTTGCTCCACCAACAGTGCTTTTTCCAGGGTTTGGTTACAACAGATAGCTTGGTCTTCATACCAGTTAGCACAGAAGCAAACTCAGTCACTGCCAAATGGGTGGTGTTAACTTCTTAGAGTGTGATTCCTGAGGGAACCAGACATTGCCAGTCATGCATTGCTGCTTTCCCTGACACAAGTTGTTATGATGAGTGAAGCAGTCCTAAAAGCAGGGCTTTTTTTGTAGAAAAAGCCCTCAGGAACTCATTAGCATAATAGGCCACACCCATCAGCAGAAATGCATTAGCATATTAGGCCACACCCTTGACAGCATAGTTAATTAGCATATTAGGCCACACCCCATACCTTCCCTTGGCTTGCCCGGGCAAGCACCCCCTTGAAGGGAAGGGAAGGCCAGGAAAGGCATCCTTCCAGGAGGCCCCCTGGCCCGCCCGCCTCGGAGTCGCCGGGGGGGTCGCTCTCCAGGCCTTCCCTCTGTAGCCACACATCCACAGAGGTTTTGGCCATAGTGGGCGTGGCCAACTCTGAAGCTAGCCGGAACTCCGTTCCTGTACATTCCTGCCCCCAAATAGCCCTGCCTAAAAGTCACAACCTTCAATGACGTCTTTGCTTCTTGTTTTAAAAAAATGGTGGTGGGTTAAGCTTTCAACCATACTATTTGATGTTTGTTGAAGGATAGTTTCCTGTTAAAGGTCAGGTGGGATGAAACTGTACCTCTGGGGTCTTCCGAAGGAGGCTTAAGCTTTTGCTCATATGAGTGTATGGATTGCTCTGCGACTTCACTAAGCCTATGTGTGTGGTGATAGATTCCAGAGGTGGAATATCAGTTTGCTGTCTCTCAATACTTGCACAAGTTGACTGAGGTAAGGAATGGAATCTACTAAAAGTCTCATCATCTTTGTTTATGTCTTGCCTGCAGATCTGCAGTCTAGTAAAAGGACAACATACACACAGGAAGATTCTACAGTCAGTTCCCAGTTCAGTACTTAGGTGGACTCAGAAAATAAACACAGTCATACCTGTAATAGCTTCCTGCACTATCCACCAACACAAACAGGCAGGCATGTAATAACGTGTATTACACAGACTGGTGTAAATCTACCTTTCTATGTCTCCTGACCTACTGTGTGCGGACCTGCACATTAGGACACAAAAATGGGATTCTGCACTCTGAGTCTGCCTTATAATACAAACGGCCAGGCTAGGGAGAGGGAGAAATTCAGGGGGTGAGAATCAAGGAGGTGGAAGTAGATTGCTTAACTTTTTCCTTGCCCTCCAATTTTGCCCTAAGATGTTCTGGCCTGGTTGCTCAGTTATCCTCAGTGAGGCTCAGGTTGCTAATTCTAATTCTCCTAGCTGACTTTATTTCCAGGCAGGAGAAGGGTGTGTGACCCCCATCCCCATCTGTAAACAGAGGGCACACTGTCCCCCAACAGGTTTTTTCTACAGACTCAGGGGACTCCATGGCTCTGCAGAAAAATCCAAAAAGTAGAACAACTCAGGGAGAGTTAAATCCCTCCCAATATCTTTTGAAATAGCTGCCACAGGGATCTACTCCAGGCTCCACCACATCAACAGTGAGAGATAGACTGGCTGATAGCCAGAGACAGAGAGAGAGACAGAGAGCGGAGGAAGCAAAAGCAGAACTGGAGCTGGGATTGGGGAGGATTCCTCCTGCAGTATGAATGGGTAAATAGCAGGGGGACATTTAAAAAGACATCTGAACTTCTCACCCCTGCCTCTTATGCTATGGGCTCCACTGTCCTCTTAAAACTTTCTAGTGGGGGGGGGCCGCTTCTAACTGGTTCTGTCAGTAAAAGGCAGGGCCAGGGCCCTTTCCAGGCCTATTTTGGCCTTTTAGGGAGGGATACTTAGGGCCAGGCCTGACAAGGGTTGCCAGTGCCAGTCTGGGAAATTCCTAGAAATTTTGTGGTAGAGTCTAAGGAGGGCTGGGTTTGGGGAAGGGAGAAGCCTCAGCTGGATATAATGCCACAAAGTCCACCCTCCAAAGCAGCCATTTTCTCCAGGGAGACAGATCTCTGTTGTCTAGAGTTCAGTTGTAATTCTGGGGGATCTCCAGGTTCCACCTGGAGGTTGGCAACCCTCAGCCTGGCAGCACCCTCTGAGTGACTTCACACCACCTGACTTGTATGACTCAACTAGGCCTGGGTGCTTGCTACTGTTCAACAGCAGCCACCCTATGAAAGCCTGTGTGGTGCAGCAGTTAGAGCTTCAAAGTAGAGAGTCTGCAACACCTAGGTTCAGATCCCCATCTTGGGGTGGAAGCTGACTGGGTGATTTTGGACCAGTCACATACTTTCAGCCTAATCAACCTCACAGGATTGTTGTGCAGATAAAAAGGAGGAGAAAATAATGTAAGCTGCTTTGGTCCCCACTGTGGAGAAAGACTATAATTTTCCTAGGTAGAGGCTGTGGGGGAGGAAGGTGGAGATGGAAAGCTGAAGACAGAGAGGAAGACAGAGGTAGGTTGGCTGTTGGGTGGGAAGGAAACAGGGTTACCAACTCCAGGTTGGGAAATTCCTGGACATTTGAGGGGTGGAGCCTGGGTAGGGTGGGGTTTGAGGAGGGAAGGAACTTCAGACCAGTATAATGCCATAGACTCCACCCTCCAAACCAGCCATTTCCTCCATGAGAACTACCATTCCCAGCCTCCAGGTGAGGGCTGGAGATCACCCAGAATTACAACTGCTGTCCAGGTGACAGAGATCAGTTCCCCTGGATAAAATGGCTGTTTTGGAGGGTTCCCTCCCCAAGCCTCACCCTCCCAAGGCTCCCCCCCCAATCTCCAGAAATTTCCCAACCTGGAGCTGGCAGCCCTAAGGTGAATTGGTCTTAGGGTTGCCAGCCCCCAGGTTCGGGTGAGGTTTTCCCACTTCTGGGGACTTCAATCCTCCCCCGGCCACCTATCCTGTCCAATTTA